AAGAAAATAATAATTTGATGTTCATATAAACTCATTGTTTGTGGGGGTTTACCAATACCCGGATTGAATTTCTGGAAAATTGTGATTCCGCTTCCTTGAAATTGGACACAAATAAACTATTTTAGTATTAATAAATACATGATTTATGTTTATTTATTGATTATGTTGTTGCTATTTTTTAACATTTAAATGGAAAAAAAATTAAAAAGTGTTATTCATGGCTTTTTTTTTTATCTTTGAATATTTTATCATTGAATATGTAATTTCTGCAAAAAGTAAAATGTAAATGGCAATTTATTTGATGTTAGATTCCTTTTAAAAACTAAATTATTTCAGTTTTAAAAAATGCATATAATGATTTTTTTAAAAATCAGTTTTAATACAGAATTTTATTATTGGGGCCATTTTTACCTACTTGTCATTTGGGGCCATTTTTACCGGGGCCATTTTTACCGGGGCCATTTTTACCGGGGCCATTTTTTCCTGGGCCATTTTTTCCGGGACCATTCTTACCGTACACCCTTAAATCAAGTAAGGGATGGTTCAACATTTTCACAAGTGTACAAACAGTATGCTAGGGGGGAGTGGGTAGACAAATTTGTACACTTTACATGCATAAAAATGTTGATTTTAAATAACATGCAATATGTAAAATAATGGTAATTATAATGTAACCATGGATACAATATTTATTTTTAAGCAACCAAAGTGCATTGCTTTAGTTGGCTTCACTAAAGAATGGAGAATGCAAAATCAACACTTTTTGTACTGTACACTTTCAGAGGGGAGGGAGAGGGTACCAAAAGAGTACTGTACACGTGTGAAAATGTTGATAATTGTGAACAACCCCAGAAGATATTTACACTTAAAGTACAGTAGTGTAAAAAGAGTAAATTAACTCTTTATACTACAGTAGACAGGACAAACTAATAGTATTGGTACTGAACAACTATTAAAACACTTTAATGGAAAACAGGTCAGGTGTTAATTTTTTTCCTATATAAGAACCAGTAAAATTTTGCTCAGGCTCAGCGTTCTTATTTTTTTTATTTCAGGCTCAAAATGTTCTTATTTTGTTCTTACAGTTTTACACATTTTGCAAATGCAGAAAATTATGGTTGTCCAGCAGTATCTGCTCTGTATTAGAGGGTATTAAATAGTAACACCTATTGTAAATAAGGTACGGATAAGATGTTGGTATTTCTAATTTTTTTAAAAATAAAACTTCATTTGACCTTTTGCCCCAGTTTCAATTTGTTCTTATTTTGTTCTTATTTTTTGGCAATTTCAGCCTCAATGCTCTTATAAAATGAATGTGTTCTTATAAAAAAAAAATATTTAAAAAAATGCAGTGGACAATGTAATGTATAAAACTAGACATCAGGTGCAAAAATCAAAGTGAACAACAATCTGAACTGCCCTTGTAAACCACCTTCTCTTTAATAATTATTAATTGAAAAAAGTATGCACTAAGCTTATTCACAAGGTTACAGATGTTGGTTGAGTCCTGACAAAGGTCATTGATCTCTGATCATAGGCTGTCAAGGATTAGAATCATCCATGCACAGAAAATAAGCAATATAGTTGATGTAGACCGAAGTAGTAATTTTTATTGCTTTGTTAAAGCGAGATTCATAAATGCTCCTGATTTGTAATTCAGCTAGTATTATAAACCAGCATTGTAGATTTAAATGTATGTTGACAAAAACTTTATTTCAAACGGTACTTAAAACAAAAATCTGCATAGATTTAAGTACTGATGGCCTACAATATGTGCCATAATGTGAATAAAACCAAACAACATTTAATTTCTGTCTACATAGGGAAGTCAAACTTCATTTCTGGTAATTTTTTTTTTGTTCATGTAATCCACTTGTGAAACTAGAAAAGAAAATGCTGTTACTAAAGACAGAATAAATAAATCAATGTTGTCACTAAAGACAAAATAAATAAATCAAATTATAAATTATAAAACAATTCTTATTACACAGTTCAACACAATCTCACATTAAACATTCAAGATACTAACTGTGGTGAGCTAAAACCCTTGAAAAATAAACAAAACTTTACTTTTTCCTAGTCTATAAGGTACAGAATTTGATATTTTAATTATAATTCAAAGAACCTGTATTTTATCACTAAACTGTTCAATATCTTTGCCTAGACCCTTAATACTTGGATAGCAGACAATAACTGTAAAGATATCATTTATAAAGTCTGTAAATAGCTAAATTGTTTAAATGATCATGTGTCTCATTCTCTCAAGTTGACTCATCTTTTTAATCTGAACAGAACATCGGATACTTTATATATAGGATTTTTTTGTTTGCATGAATTACCGAGACCCATACCTCTTCTAATAAAGTAAATTACACATTCGACACCTAAATGGAGTTGAATAGCTTTAGTGGTTATGGTGCTTGCCTTTTAATCCCAGGGTACTGGGTTCATCAATTTCTGTCACTGAAGTAATTTTCTTCATGACTAAAAACAACTCCACTTCTACTACCAGGTCTCAATAAGAGACTTGATAAAGCATCATTCCATCCTGCAAGTGGTGAATGTACTCGCTTTTGGATGTGAAGGAAATAACAAAATTTAAAAATTTTTAATCAAATCTCCAACATTATGTTGTAAATGATATATCTGAAACACAATCTGATTTATAAGAACAATAATAAATCCAACAATAACACACCTAAAAAATGCATTTAATTTTAACCATTTTTTTTTACTTCCATTTCTTTTCTTACATACTTATTAGGCCTAGACCAAAAGCAATCAGAATACGATGAGAATACTTAATAAATAAAACCTTCTTGAACTTAGAACTCTACCAAGGCCTAGGCCTAGCTATACTTTCTAGGCTAGGCCCAGATGTTTTGTTTTGTTCAAATTTTACAATATCAATGACACCATGCTTACCCGTTGTATGCAAGACTCATACATTCAAACAACTTGGTGAATGAGGAATCTATCTCTTTGGTAGGACATTCTTTATTTCCCCCAAACGAATAACTAGTTGATGGTTCTTTATTCGCTGATACAAAATCAAATCCAACTCTGTCTTTCTTCTTCCCTCGATGAGGGTCGCTGACCATAAAATGCCCAGAATGGATCTGTTCGTCGGAGCCTGGTTTCGACCCTGAACTGCTTCTTGCTCGCAATTTCATACGCTCTTTTTCCTTACAATTTCGATCTTCTTCTGAGCCCTGCATAAGCTGAAGTTGCCCATCAGCATTTAATATATCATCCCTAGCCATCCTTTGCACAATCATTTAAGTGTTTTATACAAAATCAAGTAATTTCAGCTATCCAAATTCTATACCTAAATTCGCCATTTCAACGCCTGCTCCTCTTTTCTCGCGCACGAATACACAGACTCGATCCACAACAAACTCCACAATGACGTCATCTCAGACAAAACTACAGGGGGCGTTAATACAGTTTCTGCGTTTGAGGTGGTCTGCAGCGTGGATGGCGGATCCAGGGGTTGCGGATCCAGGGGTGTCTGATCCAGGCGTGGCGGATCCTATCCAGGTAGTGGCGGCGCTACAGGGGAAATTTCCCCCAGATAATTTTCTTTCCCCCACCCCCAGTTTTGCCGGAAAATGAACATTGTAAGATTGGCCAAAAAAATGAATTGCCCCGATTGGTCTGTCTGGCCAGTTAAATTAATAGCCTAATAATAATAATTATGTAGGCTTTTATATATAGTGCTCTATACAACTAAGTCTCAGAGCGCTTTTCCACATTTTACCCCAGTCATTGGAACGATATGTGTATGGGGAAAATTCCATAGTTTGCTGCATTTATTAAAATTTTTACATTTGTAATAAACAGTTAGCATTAAAAAAGAAGTTAACAAGCTATTAGAAGCGTTACCCGTTAATGTGCTATTTTTAACTGTATCTCCGGGTCTGTAATGGGAAAACATATCCCCCAACCCCCTACAATTTTATCTTTCCCCTCCCTTGCACCCCCGAGATTCCAGACGCTGCGATGCCACTTGATCCAGGGGTGGATCCCCCACTAACGTCAGTGTTTTTCCCAAACCATAGCAAAAGTAAATAACCAAGTGTGAAACCCGGCCGTTTTGGCGGATATAAATCGAAATGGCTCAGAGCTTTTAAGGTAGGCCTAAACACCACTACATGGGACACTGCTTCAAAATTATCCCCCTAGACCGATGGTCCTCAATTACCTTCACCAACCTCACGTGACAAACACATTTCAGATCCTGGCATAATATATTAATATTTAAAATGATAATCAAATCAAAAATTGAAATTTGTTTTTACCTCTGCTTTTGTAAACTTTACCGTATCATTGTTGAACACACCTTTCTATATTTTAAGGGGGGATTGGTCCCCTCACTTTTCGGCGGCAATGTGATTGCATAAGTTAAGAAGATGCCAGAAAATTGTTGAAATGAACTGCATAAAGATGGCAGATTTTGGCAATAACTTTTTAAAACTTTTTATTTTATTTGTTTTTGTGAAATTTGAAATTTTTTTATCGTTTTATAGAGTATTTTATCCTTCTTAGTTGAAAAATGTTTTGTATTTTTATATTAAATTTTTATCTCTTATATCTTGCATTTTTATTTGGTTTGGCGAGCCACTTGAGAGATTTGAATCTCTTTTTGGGAAGCCTGCCTCCTTTTTGTCTGTTGGGTGTAGACTCACGGCAGTGAAGTAGGTAAAGTTACATCAAAGAAAATGTTTAAAGTTTTCTATGGTACATAATAGGCTATTTAGATCGCTACGGTATGATTGCATAACATTCTTGATAAAAGATCATGGGAAAATTTGTTGGGGGCGCTGCCTCGCACCCCCTCCCAACGTGCATTCCCCCAGATACGCCACTGATTATAAAAGTAAGATGAGAGCAATAATAGAATGATAAAAACTTTGTCCTTAAAAAAGACTGACGTCCGGTTTGGCCGCGAGATATTCAATGCCCAAAACACCCTTAAAAAAGAGGCTAGCGGACCCAAATATTTTCGCGGAACCTTTTTTTTTTTTTAAATTTGTCTAGCGTCCTCTTTCGTTTTACGTGGCAATTTGTTCTAGAGAGGGCATACTTCCTCTTCGTTCGCAGGGAAAACGAAGATGTTCGAGATGATGGAGGACGTCGGTAGACAAATGCAGTCTTCTTCTCTTATTTTTGGTGATATAGCTACAAAAAGTCCAGACTCAATTAATGCTATATCTCCTGTATCCGTATCATCACCCGATCATGACAGAGTCATTAATGATACTTTCTATCTTATGAAGAAATTACCAGGTAAGTCACAACCGAGTAATCTAATAGGCTAGGGACAGGCTAGCTTCGTACGTAGGGTATTTGTTGTTGTATTTTGCAGCAGCCGTCAAGCCGAACCTCCTGCCTCCTTAGGGCTAGGCCATAATGCTGTCCAATGCAACCACCTAGGCCTAGCATGCATGGCCATACATAGTAAGACTTTCTATTTTCTATAACTGAATATTTTCAGCCTTTTAAGTCTCGTTTAAGGCAAGCCAGATTAGGCTAGTTCTGATTAATAAAGCCAATGTTGAACAAATTGAAATAAAAAAGTAATTTGTGGGAGTGGATTATACTTATAGGCCTGGCTAGGCCTAAGGCCTTATGTTATAGGCTTATTTACGTGACCGTAAACAAATCAGCGCATACGCAGTTAAACTTGCATTATTGGTCACGTAAACGTATGTGTGTGTTCAGTTTTCAGCACTCCAAATGCGTCTACCCAAGCCAACCACGGTGTCCAAGCTTACCACGGCACTGATTTACTGAGGCCCTTTTGTTGGCAAGGTAAATTTATGAATGTAAGCCTACTGTACCATGAATCCACGGTGTACGAAAATCAAATCTTCCCTTAACGTGTAGGTGTTCATAGTCATACAAAATTTTGTAAAAACGAAGTAATTTCTACTTTTTAAAAAACCATTATTGAACGATACACAATCAAATCAACACACTTGGGGAATCCTTGAATTGGTTGCATGAATTTTTGTAATCAGTTTACGACAGGGAGGTTTATGTATTTAATTATAATTTTACTGTTCTTATTAAACGTAATTAAATTTGCTACAGTAATATGTATTTCAGTCATTAAATAAATTATTGAATCATTGTGATAATGAGCTAGAAATAGGTTTATTTGTATTCTTTTCATCCTACTCGCGCCATGACCATAACGTACGAGTGAGGCTGTTTATTCCTCGCTCTCTGCATCCATTAGTAGATAGGTCATGCACAACATCTATCAAATGATCTGCCAATATTGTTTTTGTTATAGTGACGATGTGGAAAAATGTGTTTGAATAAAACATTAAAAACATTTGTTTTGTCTTAATTTTTGCGTAATGATTAAATATATAACAGAAAATACATGTATATTTATTGTTTACTTCTTGTTTCACACTTTGTAAAGTGGTCTTTCCCGATGTTCCTCGCGCTCGACCCAACTAAAGACTAAAACAATGTTGTTTTTGTTAGTTACGTAGGTAAATATGTTTGAATGAAAACATTAAAATGTTATTTACTTTGTAATGATTGACTATCGTAAAACAATACAGGCTTAGGCCTAGAAGAATATCGTTTTGCTTTTGTGGTAATTGAGTGCTAGTTTTAGCCAGGAACCTCCTTTTTTTGGCGTAGGCTAGTAGCGTTGTATGTTGTCAAGTGTTTATTCAATTCAAGGCATTTCAACAAATGACGTGAGTAAAATTAAACGAACACAAATATTTCCAGCTCATAATATCACTTTTATTTGAAAAGGTAACAATGATTAAATAATTTATTTAATGAAATTGTTTAATAAAAACAAAATTATATTTAAATTAGTGCCGTGGTGAGCTTGGGCACAGCAGCTTTGGCCAATGTTATTTTCGAGTGCTGAAAGTTGAACTCGCATTAACGTACACTTAAATCCAGAATCAATAAATTTACGTGACCGATAACACAAGTTTATTAAAGTATGACTGCGCATGCATTACTTATTTCATGTAAATATATCATTTACTGATTTGTTTATAGTGGCTGATGTAAATATATATTATCTACTTCCTTAATTATTAGCAATAGCAGTATGCATTTTATTTTTACTTTTCAAGAGAAGATTGTATTTTTTTTGTATTTTAACCAGAGCCAGCTGAAGTGACAGGGGAAACAAATCTAATCAACCACTACACACTTGAACGAACTTACCAGAAATTTTCCAGTAAAAAAGTAAAAGAACAACTGAGCACTTTCCTGCCATATATACCTGGTAAGTTTGAGTAAAATTACTAAATAAAACTGATTCAATCAAGTTTGTTTCCTGTTAGTTTCTCCACTTCATTAAATAGTCCCCGCATGTAGGAGGGTGGACGTTCCGTCAGTTTTAGTGCAAACTGCAGGAAGAGCTCATTCTTCTAAATTAAATCTGCTAATAATAAAATATATCAAATTCCTTTTGCTTTAGGGAACATCGATATTGCTGGAACACAAGACAGCAGTAGTCTTCAACAGTTGGTTGACAAACCACCAATCAGAGGCAAGGAAATTGTTCCATTAAACAATAGTGCGTTGGCAAGCTTCAAATTGCATCCCGGATCGGTAAGATGGTCTTGACATTGTTAACTGTAATTACTGCGAAGGACATGGTTTACGAGGGGTCACAGTTACAGAAATACTTGACGTTTCTTTTTTCTAGGATGGGAGAGGGACGAGAGTTTTTTTGTTTTTTTTTTATGCCTTGATTTATGAAACTAACCATGATGGGTTTTTTTTTTATATCCATTAGATACCTGATCAGTATAAGTTGTTACATCACCAGGCTCCAAAGAAACACAAACATAAAAGATGCAAAAGGGAACACAAGCCATTGGAACCTGGGCAAGTGTTTACACAAGGTATGTGGATGGCCAACATACATCTGATCACTTAATCATCGTCTGTAGACATAGTGTTTACACCCTCAATGATCAAATCATCATTATTTAGATAAATCAGTCCTGCCAATAATTTTTACATGTCACAAATTAGTAAATGCTCAATACATTACACAACTTTATAATTCATAGCTTTAACATTCAAAGGTGCTTGATGAAAATAGAAGCCTTAAGGAGCAATTAATTTTCTATTTAAAAAAAGAAAATAACCTGGAGGCAATTTTTTTGGAAATATTGGTCATTTGGTTAAACTTCCACCACTGGTTGTATATTGTAAGTCATTTTTATATACAGTATAGTACTGCAGTCTGAACACATACAATATATACTCGCGTACAACACAAGGCTTAAAATAGAAAATTACAGTCGAAAACAGGGGTTTGTCTTATACGTGCGACATACAAATTTTATATTTTTTATATTTTATAAATAATGTTGGTCTTTTGTGCGGTTCGTCCGTAACACGCAAATTTAATACTGCAATAAAGCTACTTAAATGTGAGTAGGTGTATAAATGAACGCAATTTTAAATATGGGAAACAAGATTTTGATGAACATTTAAAATCTCATAAACTGGTGTTATTTGGAAGATTAGCCCAGCATTTGGCTCCGTTTTTAGCCAGCTAGATGCAGCATCAAGACCATAAAAAGCAGCAAACCGTATGAACTCCGACAGTGAACGCACATCTAGATGTGTATAAGAGACAGGTTTTATATAATACACATATAATATAATTGTCCAAAAATTGGGGGTCATCTTATAGCGAGTGTATACGGTAGTACAATTAACCAATAGCAGTAGGGAAAAAAAAAGTTTGCAACACTGTTAAAGATTAAGACCTATTTTTGAAACATCAGACATTTCCTTTCACATACAATCAACTAATTTTTTTTTTTTTTTTATCAGGGGAGGTACAAAATGATGGAAATGAGCCAAAGAAGAAGAAAGTGAAGAAACATGAAGATCCAGAAAGGAAGAAAAAGAAAAAGGAAAAGAAGAAAAAGAAGGTAATTCAGCTCTAGGAATGTTTAAATCAAGTATTCAGAATCGTTCATTAGTATAAAAATCATGAATGTTTATGAGTGCAATGGGAAGAATATTTTCATGAGTTGACAGATTGATTGTTCCATTTGATGCCAAGTTGAATGGAACAGTCAATCTTTCAACTCATGAAAATATTCTTTCCGTTGTGCGAATGGAAACATTCATTATTTGTTTTATCACACCTAAAATAGATATTTGTCATTTAATATTTTATGAACAAAATTTACCTTTTTTCTGAATGGAGATTCTTGTCATTTGATATTTTATAAAAACATCTACCCTTTTTTAAAATGTTCCTCATCTTTTTAACCAATCAAAAGATTGTTATTAGGTTGAATTTAGGTGTGTTGTAACACAAGTCCAGGAATTATAGTTTCTCAAAGTATATTTGACTCTAGGAAGGTCTGTTGTTCCAGTATCATTTGAACCACTAATTACCATACAACATAAGAATCTCAGCATTCATAGAATATCCAATAACAATCATTTATATTAGCTATTGAATAAACTATGGCTTTCTCAATATAAGAACATAATAGTTTTATGGGAAAACGAAAGCATTAGCAATAGAGAATTAATAGCAATTAAATTATTTTCTTTCAGGAGTTGGAATGTTATTGCCAGATACAAAAATGATTAGTTATTAAATTATAATAAAATTAATATCTAAAATATTTGATGAGATATACCAAAATACATAAAAGTTTTTGGTTTGTACAACTGAATGTAAATACAGATCTCCCAGTAATTAAAGACCCACTGTATTGCAGCCTTGGATTAACACACATCCTTTGTGTTTAAGATAATTTAGTCCAAAAGGTTGTCTTTAATTGGAGGGAAACCTGTATGAACATGTATTTTTGTTACATATCCAGTTTACAATTTTTTATTAAAATTTTTATTAAATTATAATAAAGTTAATATTTAAAATGTTTGATGAGATATACCAAAATACATAAAAGTTTTTGGTTTGTACAACTGAATGTAAATACAGATCTCCCAGTAATTAAAGACCCACTGTATTGCAGCCTTGGATTAACAAACATCCTTTGTGTTTAAGATAATTTAGTCCAAAAAGTTGTCTTTAATTGGAGGGAAACCTGTATAAACATGTATTTTTGTTACATATCCAGTTTACAATTTTTCTTTAATTACAGAGCAAGCACAGTCCAGATCATACAGGAGTAGGAGCTGTGCATGAAGCTACTGGACCAGGCAGGCCGTGAGCGCCCTCTATTGCCAAGAACATAGTGTATATAATGTATAATCATGTTTCAAATTATATTCAAGTGAAGTATAAACAGCTGGTATTTTTCATTTCAAAATTTATTCACTTAAATTACATGTATAATAACATGATTTCCATCAGATATTAACTCACAAACCAATCAATGGTTATTTTCTTTTATTTAAAAAAAAGGTCATTTGAAAAGCCAATGAAACATCTTAAGTCCTTTTCTCAGTGCATTATTTTAGCTTCTGTGTACCTATACAATAAAATTACCATCAAACAAGTTGACCCTTTTGGCTAATTCTCGAAAAATAAACATTGTGTTAAAGTTATACTGTACTGTTTCAGTGGCGTATCAAGGATTTTGAAAAGTGGGGTGCTGAATAGAAATATTGCATCTACATAACGAAAGGCGCAAAACTAAGGATGCACCATAAATTGGCTGTTAATGTCTAAAGTAACTTATGCTATTATTATTTTCACATTTGAACAAAAAGTGGGTGCTCAGGCACCATTAGCAACCTCCCCTCACCCCCCCCCACCACCACACACCTTGGTTACGCCACGGTGTCTCATAAATCTAACTTGAAAATTCAAACAAAAATGCATTGCTTGTTTTTTATATTTCAGTCTGTTCTAAAAATTAGAAATTCAAACTTACTTTAGTCTGGAAGTAGATCCTAAATACATTAACCTTTAGTGTGTTAAATTGTGGTGATAGCTGAGTAATCTTGCAATGTGAAAGTGGCTGAGGTTTCTTTAGCTTGTACAGTATATGATCCTATTAATTTAAATACTATTTTATGTCTAATCATTATTAAGTACTTTAAATAGTAGAACTTGCATTTTAATATTTTTATGTGATTTCAGATTTCATTTCAAGAGATCTATAAAGGCATTATTATAAATATTATATGTTAATGTTAGAACATTTTTGCAGAGATGAATTTAAAATGTTGTATGTCAACACTAGGTCTGTTAAAATATTATGTGTTATACAGTAGTTACATCTGATGTATTGACCTTTTAATCATTTTGTATCTCAGAATATATGAAATATATGAATAGAAAATGTTAATCCATTTATTTCTATCTGTCATGCTAAGTTTTTGCATCTGATAAATCAACCAAGTGTGTAAATTACTACAAAAAAAATACAAAGGTTAACAGAACCAGGGTCAGAAGATTAATAATGGTTGTCTAAAAGCACACTCTTGGGCCATGCTCATGAATCCCACTAGGGATTTTTTTTCTGGGACCCTTACCAAGGTTGTAGTATGTGGCCCCTTAGTTCGGATGCATCTGCAAATTTCTGGAGCTACCCCTGAGCAGAACTACAGATCGACTAAAAATAAATTTTTAAACATTAATATAAATGTATCATTATCACACAGTGTCAATGGACACACAATCACATGAACAAGATGCTCTACATTAACTAAGTCTCACTGTGAGTGGAGTTGTTTTTGGTCATGAAAAAAAAGCCTGTTACTATGGCAGGAATTGAACTTGAGATCCTGATTTAAAGCTTTTTTACTTTTAAACATATTGTAAATTATGTAATGTAATTCTTTAATGGGTTTGTTAATTGGTGAGAAAAAATATTTATTCTACTTTTCTGTTGTAAGCCAGTGTAAGTATTGTAAAAAAATAACCAATGGAAAAAATTATTACATAATATAATATTGCTATTGTATTCAAAAAGGAAAGTATGATAAACTTGTAAAATTGAGACAATTTACTGTTCCAGGACAATGTAAATAACTCAAGTTTATTGTTCAAGATAATTAGGTAAAAAAATTATTATATTTAAAGCACTATGTGACTGAAACCATATCATATGGCATAAAGCCAGAATTTCCAAGCATGCGAACAGAGACTCTACCACTAGGACGTATGCACACCCACGATATACTACCATGATTTAAACTAAAGCGTAGCCAGGCTTCTGGTGGTAACTGTAAAGCTCTGTAATTAAAATCAGAAAAATCAATAACTAATACTGTACATAATTGATTAGTATCAAAATTCAATAACATCAACAATGATAATAATTGCCTCTTAAATGTAAACATTTTTACTGTAGACCTTGGCCTAATTCTAGGGTTCATTGCAGTGGCGTATTTAGGGGTGCACGCCCCCAAAAAATACTTCTTTTTTTTTTTCTTTTTTTGAATTCACAATGTCAGAATCAATGGTGGCATTTCTCACAGTAGTAAAGAGTGTAAATTTTTTGGACACACAATCAGAAAAGATTGACTTAAAAGAGGATTAGGAAGACCAAGAGCTGCCCGGACAGGAAACATCAAAGAATGGGGTGGCATGAGCTATGAAAAAAAAGAGTAGAACAGAAAGAGATGGCGATCCATGTTAGACAAATTGTTTGGAGCAGAAGGTACCCACAGGTAATATGCAACGTTCTTACCTGCAAACAACATATCGGATGACATTAGCATGACATACCAATACATCTACACTGTCAGTTGTTTGGTCTGCGCTGGCTCGATAGAAGTACTTGTAAAATGCGGCCTCAATCCTTGCACCGTCTTGAAGGAACTGCTAGGGATTAAAAAAAAGTACTTTCAACTAATTGAGTATAATTAATTAATTTAATTATTATAATATGACAACCAATGAAACATCTCATTTCTTATCAAATAAGGCCTTAATCAGATAAATTAATATGAAAAAATTAATCTGCAAAAATTTCCATCTAAAAATTTTGAATTCAATATTTGGTGTTTGGTTTTCCAAATGTAAAGCAGATTTTTGTCGAAAGAAAATGTCGAGGATTTTATAGGATATAGTATGCTTCACTTAGAATCTGATAAAAAAAAAGCTTTTGGATGTTCGAAAATGCCCTTAAAGAGCGCCCTCTACAGCAACTATAGTAGTTGAGGAAAGTCTAATCTGTACATGTCATAGATTTAATATAGGAGTGTTTGCAAAGTGAAAATAGTGAAAAATCTCTATTAACAAAAACATTGCCATCTAAAACCAGCGTCCTTTGTTCAATTTCTTTGATCGCAGGACTTTTTCCAAGCCCCATGATTAATATGGTTTAAAAAAAATTATAATGATACAGTACCTGTAGATAAAACATACATGGTTTAGTTATACTGTAACCTAATTTATTTTGATAAAATTAGATAGATAATTATAATAGATAATAATAAAAGATAATTAAAATATTATTATTCGATATTGTCTATATCAGGTGTCTAAAATTTCAATATTGACATCTCTTAGTTACCGAGGGATTTGAAATGCGAGTGGCCGAGCAGTAAGGCAGGGGCGGCGCTAGCTACAGCCTTACCATCGGCGCTGGTTCCAGCCGCTCCTCGCCCATGGTTTTATTGGTAGAAATAAGTCTTGTCGGATAAAGACTTAAAATGAAGGTCCAGTGTATACATCTGGCTTGTACATCTTTTGGAGGAGTAGGGGGTAAGCCTGATGTGATGGTTCATTTCAGCAGCTGTCGTAGAATAATGTGAACGTGTAGCTACCATGAAGCACCGCTTTACGGCAGCTAGGTAGTCACGGACCACGCCCATACGCCATTCAGCACAATGACGCAAGTTATGGGTTATTCTCCTACCTTTACCTTTTCCAGTTGGGTGTTGGAGGGGGCAGGGCACCGGGGTCCAGGGGTGGAACTCCAGTGGGGGCTAGGGTTCCAGTCACGTAACCATTGGTTGGTGGTGATAATGAACGCGCAAGACCTTACAAGACTATTAGATTACAGCGTGGTTGGCTGGGTTGTTTTGGTCAAGAAAAAGAAATTTTCTCAGTGAAATGATTCTCGAACGAGATAAAAAAAACTCTTTAATGGCTCGAGTTACTGCATGACTGTTTTTATATTTTTAATAAAACCAATTTCATCTAATTTTAAATACATTTTCGCCTAAAATTATGATAATTTGTTATCACGCATAGACTTGTGCTAAAATGCGTGACAAATTTATAATCATGTATTTGTTTCTGCAAAATGTGTGTTTTATCCAAAATCATTTTTAAACCGTCCTGGCACAATGCGAGACAGTTGGTAACTATGACATCTTTATAAACATTTTTTTTTTAAATATTCATGAAATAGAATCATAAGAAGAAGTGGTTTGGCGCAGTGGGAACGGTTTGGATTCCCAACCTCGAGGTGGGGGTTTCAATCACCTCACTGTGCATTTCATTTTGTCCCTGGGCAAGGCACTTTATCTGCATTGCTTCTCTCCACCAAGGAGTATAAATGCGCTGATGTAGCTGCTGCAATTTTATGGAATACTCCCCCAGGGAGCTTGAGTTTGTGTTCCATAGGCGTTTAATCCAATGACCAGGGGTAGTAATGTGAAGCACTTAGAGGCCTTGTTGGTGTTAAGCGCTATAAATCTAACATATTATTATAAAAATATTCATATGACAAACAAACCGTTGCTTCAGGTTTCCAATGCAGAACAGCAGGCTCAGGAGGTATAGGAGCTCCTTCACGTAGCAAGTCACAAGATGTGCGGGGCACGTCAGGGAAATGCTTCGTAATTATATCAGCCGTCTCAATAGCTCTCGTCATTGTAGAATTGTGAATCACGTTGATTGGTAGATTCATGTCTTTCAATCGAAGACCGGTCATGTTGGCCTGCTCACGACCTGCAAGCAAAAACAGTATGTTTTTCATTTTAAGAATTAACCAAAAAAAAAGATGAACCTTTATGAGCTAACCAAAATAATGAATTACTGTATTATTTTATTATTATTGCTGTATTCAACCCAATGAAAAGACTAACTCAGAATATTCAATTAACCTTTAAGTGTTAATGTTCTGTTTTTGTCGTCTTCTGCATCCATGTTATATTGTCCATGACGAATCAATATTAAATGCCGAGTAGCTGTTGGTTTTGCTTCTGCTAGCTTCTGCTGATATACTTCATCATCGACATTGGCATCTTTCTTTTTACTAGGTGGCTTAACTACACTCTTTGGTAGCCTTCTAAATTTCAGACAATAAAAAAAAAAAACCATTGTAATTTTTGAGGATTAGAATTACGATTCATAAACTACACGAAGATACAAATACAAATATGAATAAATAAACTTTTTCTTAAAATGGAAAATCATCTTCAGATGGCAAAGTGGTCTGGTAGCAAAAACAAAAACTTTCTAACAATAGAAATCTATAAATTATTAACTCACCGTAACGCCACTAAGCTATTTAAGTGGTGCTGAGGGCTGGTGGGCTGTTTCCGACCCTTTAAAATAGCCCCCCCCCCCCTTGTCTTCTGGTATCTTCTCTTAAATTAAACTGTATATTTATTATTATTGGTTAAAAATATAAAATCGGCGAGCGTATAAAAAATGAATCTTCAACAAAAAAAAAACAAAAAAAAACGCACAAACACAATATTTACACAATGGTTCTATAAAAAAAATATTTAAAATGTCATTCTTTCACAAGTCTAGCTAATCTGATTTTACTCTTGGCCTAGGCCTAGAGGCCTAGGCTAGTAGGCCTAGTATGGTAGTAATGTGGCCACCGCCACTTTCCTGGCGAAACGCACCTGTCCCAGTTATAGTCCCACTTGACACTCGGCACGTAGTTCGAAGTCCAAGATTCATTGGATGTTTCTGGAATAAACCCGGTAAAATTGTTTGTTTTTTCTGCACTTCTGACTTTCTGGACATACACAACACTAGCAACTCCAGCCGATATACCACATATAACTTTCAATGACCTAGAATACATGTTTGCAAAAGTCCCAACAAATCAAATTTCAATGTTTCCACTAAGCAAGGAAGCTGCCATTTTTAATTACTAAAGTTATAGTAAAAAACAACATTTAATCACAGCTTAATTAATCAAATTTAAATAAATATAACACTTTATTATAATTAATAAAAACAAAAAAAATATTAACGTTTATAATATTGCATACAGTTTTACAATATTTGTAATGCATTTATTCTTTTTGGAGTTATTGTTGACAAGAGTATCCAGGTCATACAGACGCTTTTTCCGGTAGTTCAAATCATGGTTTTGCGCGGTTTTAAACAATTGACCAATTAGAACAATTAAGTTCACCAAGAGCATGACATTTTTAAAACGAGTGAAAAAAAAAACATAATTATTAGTCTTTATATCAGTGATAAATTGTTAAAATCTTAAAAGAATTGCTGTGTTTTTATTTCGAAATACTGAATCTGTTCGTCTGTTTGGAAGATGATCATAAGATTGGAATACTACAATAGTTTCATCCGAGATTTGTTTCATGCTACAAATTAATTATATGATAAAACAAAATGTGTAGGGCATATAGTATACAATTAATTAATATGGTGTGTGTGTCCATTACAAAAATAGTGAATACATTATAGACCCATACAGATGTATTAATAAACATTTATAATTCTATACATAAAATAAACAGCCAAATTAAACAAAAAATTGTATCATACTCGATAAACCATGAGGATGGAACACAATATATTACAGCCCTTCTTACAAATACTCCAGAATTTAGAAAGATTAGTCACATCGTCACTATAACAACTCCCTGGTCACATTAATACGAGTTTTGTTATGGTAGATTAATATATAGGCCTATTTTTCCCTCGAAATGTACTACTACCGATAACCTAAGTTTTAAATGTAGATAGGCCTGTAATGTTGCTGTACAGTAGTTAAATGACAGCACGTCTTATAATTTTATTATAATATCAGCTTAAGATTATATTATATCACTATCATCATTGCTAATTTTATAATGACATGAAAATATATTACGATTAAGATAATTATCATTTATCATATAAACACCATTATTATTATTATTATTATTATTATTATTATTATTATTATTATTATTATTATTATTATTATTATTATCCTATCCTCATTATTATCATATCCTCATCAACATCATATTAGTATAGTAGGCCTAGTAGGCTAGTACAAGCGAATATTATCGTAAACGGTTGCGATATGGTGACGTCATTTCAAACCAGGATTTGAGATTGTGAGAAAGAGCCTAGCTTGTTTATCTATCCACTCACATGTGGGACGGAAGAACAGTATGTACTGTAGAATGGATTTTTGACTACAGTAATTACATTCAAATGAGAGGTTAAACCTGAATAAATAAGGTCTGACTATCGGGTACTATATCTTTGTAACCTCCTCTGACTTTAAAATTTATTTCATATTAAATATTTCCATCATAGCCCGTAGTAGGCCGGGCTAGGCTTAGCTAGAGGCTATAGCCTCAGTCAGGCCGCCGCCATCTTCGTTCGGGCCTCGACGAAGCCCGATGCTCTGTGCAGGTTTGGGCCTGTCTACTACGACTTCGGTTGGGGCGTAGGCCTAGCACTATCGTGCGTGTGTATGAAGGACACTTGTTTATATCAGTGGCGTCGAGAGGGGGGGTCA